CTTAAAAAGATCTTAAACAGTAAAAGATAAAAAGTTTTAAATTCAAATTTTTCATAAACTTCCTTTTTACTTATTTTTTACTCACTTTTCCTTATTTTTAAAAGTAACTTTTAAATTTTTCCTTCAATAAAAATTTAAATTTATCATTCATAAACAATACAAAAAAAAAAAAAAAACTCTTACAAGTTAACTCAAACATGTTCTTAGAACTTTCCCAATTTTTGGATATGGCAGCTCGAGACCAACTTTAGGTGGCCACGATCTTGAGTTGATCCCCATTCAAAGATTAAGTTGAATAGCACGATATAGAAGCGAGATAAAATAAGAAATGAAAAATGATTATCTTTTATTGTGAAAAAAAAAAAAAAAAAAAAAATACTTTTAACCAATCTTGGTCCCAAGTTTGACAAAGTAAATTTCAAAATTTCAACCCCATTCCGAGTAAGCTAATTACTAATTAGCAATGGGCATATAACTTAAAAAAGGGCCCAACTATGGCCAGGAACAGAGGGCCCAACAGAGCCCATCTTGAATTGTTAACAAGGGCAAAACGACTGGGAGTTTTAAGTGTTTCTAAGCCTAAGCCCAACTACGACAAACCCAAGAAATTAACACCATATGGGACATGACAGAGCAGAACATTTCTGTGACCCCAGAGCAAGATCAATTAATGGAAGCACTGTTTTATTTTACTTTATTTTGGTTGCATAATAGGAGAAAATCATCTCTTATCTGTTATTCTACCCACTTATATGCCAAACAATTCGAATTCAAAACTTCTTAAAACGAAAAGAAATTATTATTAAGTTATTTAATTCGTTAACAATAAAAACACTATTTTTTACCCTGAAATAAAAATAAAAAAAATTAATAGAGGCACTAAGGGAAAGGGAGAAACAACCATTAGTTAAACATGATAAGCTCTTCACCCTTGCGTTATTAATATAAAAATTGCTCTTACTTGGCTAGTGATTTAAGTAACTTAATAATAATTTTCTTTTAATAAAAATAACGGATTTTTCATGCAGCATATGAATGGAGTGAATTAAGATATTAAAAAAAAAGTTACTTTATATTCTACAACCTAAAATAAGAAAAAGAAAAAAAAAGAAGATTGCTATTACTTGAAATATTTGATTCCACTCAAATCAATGGACCACATCAATTCAAAATTTCTTTGAAAATTTTTAAGACGTGAATTGTGATGTAAACATAACCTAATCACCCCTCCAATAAGATGTTTGTGTCACAGTAAAACTTCAAAAGGAAGAAGAATAATTGTGAAACGACATATACCCTTTTGCATTATGCAAGGGCAAGGATAGAACAATCCGACTATATAATCCACATTTCATGGAGAATCCAATGCTTAGCTTAAACTAACAAATTTTTTTTTTTTTTTTTTTTTTTTTTTGCTTTGGCCACTAATCCACTGTCCTATTGGACTCAAATTAAGTCAGCCACATTTTTTGAAGCGTCAAAACAAAAGGAAAACGACACCGTTTGGTTGCATCTTGGACACTCCAAAACCTTCCTCTAACATATGCTTTTGGCTTTGGGTCTAAATTTATTTGGTTGAATACAAGCACCAACCTCTCTTTCTCCCTTTCCTCCCAAAAAAAAAAAAAAAACCTTTCTTTCTCCTTATCCTCTTCTTTGTCCTTGGTGTAATTTTTTTTGGAAATTGAAAAAAGTTCAGATGTTTTACTTATTAAAATATTATGAATAATAATAATAAATTTTAATAAATCAAACACAAAAGAAATATTCATTAAGAATATTTAAATACTTTTACAAAAAAATCTTAATATTTTAAATATTTAGATACCTTAATTTTTACTCTCTTATTTTTTTGACCAAAAGGAAAGCCCTAGTTTGATTGTTAAATGGGGAAAATCCAACGTCAATGAATTAAAGGGAAATCCGTGGACTTAAGCCAATTCTAACATTAATAAAGAGATATACTCAAGATTTGGTAATACGAAGTTCCAATTTTTTTATTTCTGATCATAGAAGTTTTGAGTGGATGGGCTGCTTCTAGTATTTTCTTATTTTATGGTTAGCTTTCATGGAGAATCTTTGCAAATTGCAATTGTTTTTTAAATAAAGAATTACTAAACTTTTATTGTGCTCAATGGAGATTCAAAGGCATGCTAGCTTCAACACCCTTTAATTTGTGTATCTTTATGTGCATTATTAAATCCAGGAATAAACCAACAAGGAAAGAAGCAATGATGATGTCCAAATTGACTCCATTAATGGAATTTCAATCTGCAACATGATGAGAATGATTGTTGCCCCTCCATTCCTTTAGACTTTTAGGCTGAATGGGTTTTTTTTTCCCTACTTGCTTCTTGCTCCAACACCAATTGTGCTTTGGTGTATCCACAACTTGGACTGAGATGATGAAAAGTTTTCAATTTCAGTTTATAGTTCTGTGGTGTGTAGTTTTGAAACTACCGTAATTAACTTGCCCTCCAATTGATTGTGCTGTACATAATAATGGATAGAAGGAAAGTTGGAAATGTCACCTCTGATGCTACCATTAGATTACTAGACTACTACCAAGTTTGATAGGTAATAACATATCACCTTAATAAATTGACTACCACTTCATTTTCTTCTCTTTTCTTTTCTTTTCTTTTCT